ATTCGCCTTAGCATAACATGCAGCTAACACACACTTTTGGTTTCCAAGGTTCATATGCATAGATAACTTAGGTTATCTATCAATGTCGCAAAGGTGCTTTTTCATGAGGCAACTGGACTTTCTTGTTTTTCTTTGAAGACATTTCGCTTCTCATCCAAGAAGCTTCTTCAGATCTTCTTGGATGAGAAGCAAAATGTCTTCAAAGAAAAGCAAGAAAGTTCAGTTGCCTCATAAAAAAACACCTTTGAGATAATTATGACCTGGATGACTGAGAATCTCCATAGACATTTATCTATCAATGCTTACTTTCTAACATATATTTCATTTTTTTCATTCATAATTAAATGTATATCTTGACTTCTTTTCATAAATTCATCAACTTCACTCAAGAGCAGACCATCTGAACACAGATCTAATAATCCTTTTCTTATTTTCATAGACTCAGAACATATCTCTTTTCTTTCATTTCATTCATTAAGTTATGCTTGTCAAACATTACCTTAGCTTTGAAGTGGTGACAAAATTGTAGTTTTTACACATGTAATAATATAAAGTATTTCCCCATGCAATTTTTCTAATATCTCTTAATAACTGTATTTTTGTTGTTGCTTTTGCAAATGTATGGTACTTTTACCATAACGATTTGGTACACTTTTTACCCTGGAAAAGTGTACCATGAAAAACAAGAAATATGCTAGAATGTGAAGGATAATTGTGCTATAGCTTACACATTGGCTGGCGATATACAAATTGGATAACTTTATGTTAAAGTGAAAGCTGAACAAACTTATTCTCATCCCTACAAACTATATTGCTTTCTATATTAAGCTAAAAAAATAGTTCGAAATTTCAGCACTTGCTCATCTATCTATAAAATAACGTTAGCATAATATTTTGGAACCCACTAGTAATAGTCATTAAATATTATTCTATACCAGGGGTAGGCAACCTTGGCTCTTTTATGACTCGTGGACTTCAACTCCCAGAATTCCTCCCAGCTGGCTCAGGAATTCTGGGAGTTGATGTCCACGAGTCGTAAAAGAGCCAAGGTTGCCTACCCCTGTTCTATACCCAATGATCTTTTTGACCAGCTATGTGTCATATGAGCTACAGACGAAAAATTGAATTTAATTAGGTCCTCATTTTGAAAGCATATTAACACATTCCTAACTATGCACAGAACACAATTATCTTAACAATTCAACATTTCTCCAAATGATGTGTTGTAGTTTTCAGCTTTATGTCTTTGAACCGTCAGAAGTTTTTTTAAAAATAAAAAACACAGATTAATACAGGAACAGGGCTAACGAAAGAAGACATGAAAAGCTCATATAGTTCACAAATAACCAGCTCCAACCATCCATAATTCTGGATCATTCCATAGCAACAAGAAAATGCCCATGTTTAATAAAAGGAGAATCTCCAAACTGTTCGGATGAAGGATTGAATAGCAAGACTCTGGGAAATTACAGCACTATATAACACCAGTCTGGATTAATAGTGTCACATACTTTGTGGACAACCTCAAAACAATAGATCCTTCCCCAAAAGTTCTCTTACTTCATGTTCCCAAATTTTTATTAGTCTATATCAGGGGTGTCAAACTGCCGACCCGCAGGCTGGGTGCGTCATGACAAAACCCCATTGCCGGCAATGGAAAAAATGTTGTGATATGTTGCAACACATCACATAACATTGCGAGTTTGACACCCCTGGTCTACATATTTATGTATCCCACAATATAAAGAGGATTTCTGGCTACATCTCCATTCTCTCCAGTGTCATTCTCAATATAACTCTTTCCTCTTCTGAATTTGTCTGTAAAAGTTTAAGCAATGATTCCAATCTTGAGCTTTTAGAGAGGAGGAAATGGGGAAGCTGAAGAAAAGGTGGAAGGATGTGCTTTCATGTTATGCAAGGATGAAGATGTCTTCTTCCATGGTGTTTGGATCATCTCAACAGGCCACTTAATATTAGCTTTATCTTGGACTGCAGGAAAGACTGCCTTCTCTGAAAAAAAAAATGACACTCCCTACTCTTTCTTGATCTTCTTTCTCTCCTGTTTCTAAGCAACCTGAAGTGCTCCAATATATCAGTATTTCAAACATCACAGTTTGTATTAATTCAAGCACTGAAATAGCACCTGATAAAACAAAACAAACTAATATAATTTGATCACAAAAGATTGGACAAAAAGGCCCAACGAAACAAGAAAAGACTCATTTATCAACCACAATAAAAAGGAATCTGTTCCCATGTACAATTCAAAGCAACTTATCATTGTATCTTTCAACAACAACAAGAAAGAGGACACATTGTAAGAGGTCAGCTGCTTATTCACCAGCTTAGTGGTAAACAATGTCTTCAATCTTCTGCAAAAGCAGACCCAATTTTCAGGCTTGCCTTCCCTCTCTGGTAATATCTCGGTTTCCTGTGATCCAGATATATTTGGAGGATACCAGTTGAGGGAAGTCTCCTATAGTTCCAAAAAAAAAAAAAAAAATTGGGCAAGACAATAAGCATACAGATTTATGTTGTGACATGTGTTTATCTGCCAATCAGGCCAGCTAATGTAGAAATGGGAACAGCTATTTCACCAACCATAGACCACTCCAAACTATTCACTGAAACTACAATAATGCAGTTCAAACACACAATCTCCAGATCCATTAATGAAAGCATAAATTATAAACATCAAGACCAATAACATTCAAATATTTATAAAGTACATGCATGTAAATAAATTGCCTGTCCAAAACTAAGCTAAATTAATCTACTGTACATGAAGGCCCTCACATCCTTCCCAGAAGCTTGAGAAGTTTAAAGAAGCTATAGCAGTGTTGAATAATTAAGCTTTAGACAGTTATCTTCTTGGGTTTTTCCTACTTTTCATGACTTTAATTCTCTTAACAAAGACAGTAACATAGCAAACAACGTATTAATAAAAAAGAAAAAGTATTTATTTCCTTTGTAAAAAAAAAAACCACTGCAGAACAGGGCACACTGGCTGAAAAGCAAGTCAAGAGTATAACAATTCATTTGGCTATTACAAGCTGGATTCCAAGTCATGATTTCTTTTGCTTAGAGACAGTTGCCATCAGTTGCCATGGAATGACACGGAACCCATGGATACACAAACCCTTTCAGCAGCAGCTTGCCTTAGTAGCCTACCCTCTTCTACATTTACATGAGCACTTGTTTACCCACTTAGTCCTTTCCCATCCATCTCCATCTCAGCTAATTAATTCATTATTAATTATTATACAAAACATTCTTTGTCACTTGTTTCCTCCAAAAACATTTCTAGTTAATACCAAACAATATGTAAGGAGAAAAATTATTCTGTATATCATTAAAGATAGCCGACTTATTTATACCAATCCAAGAGAAACAAGGGATTCCACATTTCTAACAGATGTATACAGGCTGCTTCCTCTATCCAGTGTGTGACCCTCTTACAACAAATATAGTAAAGCTTTGGATAGCTCAAGCAGACTTGTAGGTATGCTTTAATATCATCAAATAATGCTAATCATCCGAATGAATCTCCAATGTGCATACAGCTGATCTTAGAACAGACACAACAGTTATTGTCTCTCAAGCAAATGGCCAAGCAACCTGACAAGAACTCCAAACACCCTTGTTCCCTAATGCAGACTTAGGTGTGTCTAAAGCGTTTTATGTTAACACATGCTCAGGTAAACCTCATTCTGCTGAGACCTCTTTGGAGAAAACCAACATATAGATATCATTTTCTCTTTCTGGCAAACTGAATAATCAATTAACATTTATGAAAACATTTTCTTTTGTGAGCAGCCAACTTTATTGACATCAGGGCCTTCTTCATATTAATAAGGAAGCACAAGGAGGTGGGAGGTGGGTAACCAATATCATGTAACCATATCATCAATGATATCATCTCCCCCCATTCTACATAATTTACATTGATGTTTATTAGCAGCATGTGTTTCTTGGGCAAGAATTTCTAATACTGTATTGCATAAAAGTTAGAAAAAGCCAACTTAAAGCAGAGGATTATTAGGGAATCATAAGGAAAAATGGAATGGAATTAAGGGTTAATATTGAATATAAGAGAAATTTTCAAAATGCCTCTCCGTTCAAGTCAAGGCTTTTATACCCTAAGTAACCCTTAACCCTATTTGCTACCAGCTTTTTTGGACAGCTGCTCTGAAAAAGAGTTGAGAATCATAACTCAACATCCAATGGACTATCACAAAGTCCAACTGCTCAGCCACACTGTTGTTTTGTCTTTGGAATAATTTTGGGTCAAATATCACCACTCAGTCTATTTAGAGGCAGGATTCTCTCACATTCATTGGAATCCAAGGCAGGAATCCATGAACTCTCTTAAAGACAAAACAACTGATTAAAAATACCCAAACTATTCACTTCCCACATAGAGTTCCCACACGGTGTTCTTCCCAGATACGTTAAACTGCACTTCCCATCATCTATAGATGAAGGAGTCTAGCATGTATAAAAGATGCTAAGCTCTGGAGAAGGCTGTAACAAACCCGGGTGCTGTCTTCCTAGACCAGAAACCCATCCATACCCAAACTTCCTGAAGAACCTCAAAAAATCAGAACGAAGCTTCAGCTTTCCATTGGGCAGGTACAAAATGCACGTTCTTTTTCCAGTGATGCATGGGTTTTTGTGTGTATGTTTTAAGGAGAAAGCCCTGGAGGTGGGCCCCCGGAGTTCACATCTAAAACCCACCCCACCCAGTCCACATCTGCATCGAGGCTTCCCACCTATCCCACCGAGATCCAAGATGATGCTCTCCCCATTTCCCTCCACCCGCTTTCCAGCACCCCGTTATGTCAGCGCCGCACCGCGCCACGCCTCCGTAGCATGTTCATCCCCCCCGTGAAGCCCTCCACGGCCCGGGTTCTCCTCTGCATCCGTCCCCTTTCCGGACTCCGCACTGTACATCCTTTCATCATGAAGCGAGGACCCCCGCCGGATCCCGCCCATCTTACCTGGGCACGCAGCTGGGCGCTGAGCGATCGATTTCCCAGGTGGCGAAGAGGTTCATGGGCACCGGGACCGGCCCGAGCCCCCCAGAGACTCCCGATGCCGCCGCGCAAGTGCCCATCGGGGGGAAAGCATTACCGGCCGCCCCCCCGGGTCCTGACCCGGACCCCAGCGAGCCCGCTGTAGTCGCCGCCGCCGCCGCCATCGCGCCGCTACCCTGGAACCTAACCGGGGTGCGGTGGGAGGGAAGGTAGGGGGGCGGCCGGGACCCTCGGCCCAGCCCCGATCTCCTCCCTCACAGCACGAACCGGGCGGAGCCTCTAACGAGGCAGCCAATCGGGAATGACGGAGGCAAAGTTTGCCGTGTCGGTAGACCAACCAGCGTGGAGCGGAGAAACTGTTTCCAGAGCATCAGCCAATTCTGACACGAGGGGCAGGCTTTGAAAAGGGGAAGGCTTGACGAGGCGTGGCCTTGGGAAAGAAGAGTTTAAATTGGGAGGGGAAACAGACTTTAAGGATTGGAAATAACTTGAGTGACAAGTAATTTACCCAATAAAGAAAGAGACTACTAATAAAAGCATTCTTCATGTTTCTGTCTCTGTTGTGACTGTGTTGTCTAGATTTTTTTTTAAAAAAATAGTATTGTTGTGGCTTGTGGGATTTTCAATTCAATAAACAAACGTGTATGGAAACGGTGAAGTAATATGGTACTATGGCCAGCACAACCCTGATCACAAATTGTACATTTGAGCTGCTGCTGGACCAAATTTGCTCGTGTATCTCCAAAGATGTGGAGGAAAATTCCCCAATGTTAAAGAAATGGCTCACAAACATGCACATTCCGCACGTTTCCAACGGAGCACATGGAGCTGGTCCTGCAGATAAAATCCAAGGCTCTTTAGTTTAGCTTTCCGGGAATGCCAGGTAACGGGTAAATGAAAGCAGGCCCAGTACCAGTGAAGGCTATCCAAGCAGTGTGTCTCAACCTCAGCTGCTTTAAGATGGGAGGACTTCAACTCCCAGAATGCTGGCTGTGGGCTGCAAAAATATCTCTCTTTTGCTACCATCTTGTGGTCATCCAGATTTTTGTTGCCCAGATCCTTTAACTCTACTATCAGTATAGAGAAAAGCTGGGGCTTGACACTTCGGTTAAGCATTCCTACTCACAGTAAGCTAAACCCAGGTTTATTTCCAATGTAAGTGTGGATAGCTGCTCATATATATTTCTTATCTTTAAATGGTATTTTTGTTAACTGCCATCAAGTAGTTGATTGGTGTTGATTTTTAGTGACTACATAGATTTTCTTCTACACAACCTGTTCCAATATGGTCTTTCAGGTCTTTTAGCCCTGCACCCATTGCTCACGTAACTGAATCCATCCATTTTGCTGCTAAGAGTTATTCTTTTCTTATTCCTTCCATCTTCCCCAGTATTATTGATTTTTTTTTTGTTATAATATATTTATTAAACTATTTAAAGGACCTAAATAAATAGGTATATAAATAATTAAATAAAAAGAAACAAAAGATTTACAATTATCATAAAAGTTGAAATAATTAAATGACTAGAATTAAGTTCATTACGTTATCTGAGGAAAGAACTTGAAATTTCCATAAAACTGTATTATATTATATGTTATATTATATTAAAGTTTAATATTGATATTTCCACTATTTGCATCCACTACATGAATGTAATCATGCAATAGAAAAAAATGGGAGGTGGATTTAAAAAAGAAAGAAAAATAAATTAAAATAAATTAAAAAGAGAATAATCAGTAAACAATATTGGCACATTATGCAATTTTAAATATCCTCCTATTGTAGCGAACTGGTGATTGTATCAATACTTTCATAAACACTGAAAATTTTGCTAATTGTGGTCAATTAAAAGCCACATACCCAATATCCTAGTTAGGATTGTTATGTGACATGATATACATAAGGGAGTTATTCTTGTTTAAATTTAGTCTACTTTATGTTCTGAATGCATAATTAATTTTGCTGTTGTTACATGTTCCCCAAGTGTGGTTTCCTAGTCTGATATTGTCAGATATTGATATTGCCAGCAAAATATTGGGCCAAATTTTTCCTCATCACCATCAGTATATATCTTTTAAAAATGTTCTCATGATTTGTTCTTCTAGGAACAATTCCTAGTAGAAATCAAGAATTTTATTCAAACATTATTTTTTAATAATGTTGCTTTTCTTTCAAGAGCTTCTGAGGTTTTTGATTGACCAGCATGATAAAATGTTCCTTCTGTATCTCAAAATTTCCATTATTTTTATGATATAATTTATCTATTTTTTATTTATGTTCCATCTATAAAACATTCTGTCTGGACTGTTGCTTCGTGATTAAGTTTTATATGAGGATTGTGAGATGTTCTGGGATTCCCATCTTTCTAAGGATATCCCATAGCTTCACATGGTTGACATAACTGAAAGCCTTTCTCTAATCAGTGAAGCACATATTGACTTATAGGGCTCTGGTCATGGATGGATAAGCCTAAGCATTATTTTGCTAGTGCATGAAATTAGGAATATTGTGTTAAGTCTTCTTTCTTCGATATGTAAATTGACCTCTTCCAGTCTATTGACTCCTGTGTATTGTTCTCCTTTGATGGCATAGCATAGTTATAACCTTCACTGATTCTTCTTCTGTTGCTTGCCATATTTCTATAGATAGTCCATCAATCTCTTTAGCCTCTTAACTTGGTAATAGCTGGAGTGCTTTCATATACTAATATTAAAGGTTCTTGTAAATAGGGATTATTTTCTAAGGTATCTTGGTTGTTGATATCCATATTGTAGAGAATTTCACTACCGTATATGTGAAGGAATCCCTGCCATGCTTGACCCTGACTACTTTAAAGGTCTGACAATAATCTTGAAAGCCTGTTAGAGATTTTCTCCATATTATATCAAAAAGTCTAATAGATGTTATTTGATCACCGACTGCATTGTAGCCAAGTACTTTTGCTATATTCTTTCTGACTCTGAAAATAACATTATTCTTTTTTCATGTACTGAGTAGCAAATAGTATGTTCTTCTGATTGAAATATCAAATTAATTCCCTTTCAATTCACTGGTGCCTTAGTTGTCAATATGTAGTTGACTTATCTTTAGCTACACTGAGTTTTTCCATGTTCATGTTTCTTATATTCCATGTTCCCCATGAGGCTCTACATCTTTGGACTTTTTTCCCCTTGCATGGCAACATCAGCTACTAGAGGTCCTAAAGGGTTTGAACTAGCTGCATGATCTATCACCATTAATAGCCAATTTGGTGTAGTTATTAAAAGTATTGCCCTAGAAACCAGGAGGCTGGTCTAGTCCTACCGGAGGCACAAAACCAGCTGGATGACTTTCAGCAAATCACCCTCTTTCAGCCTAGAAAGAAACAATAACAAATTATGCATATATTGCCAAGAAAATTGTATAGCCTTGTCATGTTATTGCCAGGAGTCCTTCATATGATTTGAAGGCACAGGAATAATAACAAACAATATTAGTACATTCTAAGTTGTTCAGCTCTTCCATTCAGTCTGAATTATGCATCATCTGGCACTGTATCTTTGCTTCCCAAGCAGTGGATTTGGAGAAAAACATGTATGAACAACGTCCTTTCCTGCATCCCAACATTCAAAACATGCATTTGATGAAAATAAAACCCCTAATCTTCAAGGCCCAGTAGTTCAGTCAATCTCCACCAGTCAATTTTTAATCCCCTTATAGTGTGTGCGCGTGCCCTGCTGAACCACAAACTAGTCAGCCACACTTTTAATCTGGCATATTCTATGAAATTCAATCCACATGATCAGTTTATGGTAATTTTATGGTTTAGGGTTCAGTGAGTTCTCAACATTGAGATACCTGGATAAAGATAGCCATGGGTACATGCTCATCAAATACAGTATGCTAACACAGTCATCTAATGAAAGGAAGTAGTTCTATACAACACAGCACAATATATGTGCATATATATTTCACTGTACATATCAGAAATGTAGTGAATATTACTTATTGAGATGCTTAACAAAAAAGATCTAGCAAAAGAACTTTAAAACTTTAACCTTTACTAATAAATCTTTTTGTTTTCTTGGTTGGCTTTATTTTATTTTATTTTATTTAACATTTTATTAAGATGTAAAGTAAAATACAAAATTCAAAGCTAATAGTAGGACACAATGGGGAGGAAAAAGGGAGAAGAAAGAGAGGGAAAGGGAGGCAAAAAAAAAAAGAGCTTTACTTTTGACTTCCCTGTTGCAGTAAAATAAAGCATTAACTTTGAGCCTCGACTTTTTACTTTTTCACAATAGTAAAAACTAGCCATTTGTGTAATAATAAATCAATCTAATCAGTGAAATCCAAAATCAAAGTTTCATTCTTTTCCACCTCAAGCACAAAGTCCAGAAGCGGTCTCCATGTAGAACGAAGGTATTCTTTTCTTTAATCAAAACAGTCAATTCTGCCAACTCCATCAGCTTCTGTAGCCATTCATCCATAGCTGAGATCGAAATATCTTTCCAGTTTTGTGCATGTAGTAGTCTTGCTGCTGTCAACATATACAGCAGTGGTGGCGAACCTATGACACAGGTGCCAGAGGCGGCACTCAGAGCCTTCTCTGTGGGCACACGCGCCGTCGCCCCAGTCCTAGGCCTTCAGCTGGGTTTTATAAAACCTTTTCACTTTAGGCCTCCGCCACCGTGTGCAAAAAAAAAAAAGGTTCAATCAGTCGATTTCAACTTCTCGCAGGAAAAAAAAAGATCTTGCATTGACTGATTGAACTTTTTAGTCCCACCCAGTCTGCCATTACCACTGCAGCCACGCCCAGCCAATGGGCCACACCCACCTGGCACCCAATGATGCATAAGTAGGTTTTGGGTTGCAGTTTGGGCACTTGGTCTCTAAAAGGTTCGCCATCACTGATATACAGGATCAAAGTTCCATTTTTTCCCCCAAGTCTTTTTCCATTAAACCCAAAAGAAAAGTTTCTGGTTTCTGATTTACTAATAAATCTCAAACCCATGTTTTAATCAATATCCAGGTTAATCAATATCCAAAGTATTACTCATTGGCCGCTAAAAATTGTACAGATTCTGACTATTGTAAATACCATGATTAGTCACACTTCTGAAACCTCAAGATTATTTTACTCCAGTAATGTATAAATACGTATCATCAAATGCCAGTATGTTTTTTAAAAAAGTTTGCTGCAGAATGAAAGAAGGATGCTAAACTGAAAATAATTATTTGGACTGCTGGGAAAACAAAGTGATAATTAGAACAAAACATATGGGAAGAATTATCAAAAACACAGAAGTAGAGTCTTTGA